CAACTGATTGGTTCAAAATTGGGAAAGGAGTACGACAAGGCTGTATATTGTCCCCCGGCTTATTTAACTTATATGCAGAATATATCATGTGAAAGGCAGGACTGGAGGAATCACAAACTGGAATTAAGATTGCTGGAAGAAATATCAACAACCTCCGATATGCAGATGATACCACTCTGATGGCAGAAAGTGAGGAGGAATTAAAGAAGTTCTTAACGAGGGTAAAAGAGGAGAGTACAAAAAATAGTCTGAAGCTCAACATCAAAAAAACTAAGATCATGGCCACTGGGCCCATCACTTCCTGGCAAATAGAAGGCGAAGATATAGAGGTAGTGACATATTTTACTTTCTTGGACTCCATGATCACTGCAGATGGTGACAGCAGCCACAAAATTAAAAGATGCTTGCTTCTTGAGAGGAAAACAATGACAAACCCAGACAGCATCTTAAAAAGTAGAGACATCACCTTGCCAACAAAAGTCCGAATAGTCAAAGCTATGGTTTTTCCTGTAGTGATGTATGGAAGTGAGAGCTGGACCATAAAGAAAGCTGACCGCCGAAGAATTGATGCTTTTGAATTGTGGTGCTGGAGGAAGCTCTTGAGAGTCCCCTGGACTGCAAGGAGAACAAACCTATCCATTCTAAAGGAAATCAACCCTGAGTGCTCACTGGAAGGACAGATCCTGAAGCTGAGGCTCCAATACTTTGGCCATCTCATGAGAAGACTCCCTGGAAAAGCCCCTGATGTTAGGAAAGTGTGAAGGAAAGAGGAGAAGGGCACGATAGAAGATGAGATGGTTGGACAGTGTCACTGAAGCTACAAACATGAATTTGACCCAACTCCGGGAGGCAGTGGAAGACAGGAGGGCCTGGTGTGCTCTGGTTCATGGGGTCACGAAGAGTCGGACACAACTAAATGACTAAACAACAAATGAATAATCCTTGCCTAATTCTCACATTCTGTTGAAGAGGATTCAATGCTTCGTGCTCTTCCAGCTATAAATGAGTCCATAAAAGTAACTAAAACCAGTTAATGGTGAACCTTGGTTTGGTTACTTTTACTATTTACAAGCACTTTAAAAACAAACTGAAAATAGTCAGCACCACTAAATGGAAATACTGAAATGGAGAAGTCGACAAAAGTGAAAAAGCAGCAGCTCTTAAAGTTAATCGTCAGTTGCAATCTTCTGCCCAGCTCTCCCTGCTTTTAAGCATCTGGGTTTCTCAGGAAAACAATGAAAGGAGGTAATTGATGATGGGGGCTTGTTCTATCCTAATGGAAATCCTTCCGGATATATTAGAATGCTTGATCCTCTCCTCGTGGAGACACTAAGAGAAGGAAATAGTATTTTGAAGAATGAAAAAAGATAAAGTAGGAAAGTTGAAGGTTTTAAAGAGTAAATAAAACATCATGCCATTAAATAAGCTAAACTAAACTTGAAGAATCAAAAACAGAATATACTCTTTCTCTCACACACAGAATTAAGAGTAAATGGCTTAGAGTAAATAAGCCATTTATAGAGTCCAGCAATGTTCACGATCTCAGAGGTCCCTTGCCCAGATCTCCTAAACCATTGGTTGTAAGTCTCCTTTTATCCATATTGTGGGGATTTCTCGCACATTTCTCTCTCATCCCCCCGCAAAGTAAAAAGTGTGCCAGACAATAGAGGTGGCTCATCAATGTTTATGTGCCAGGTGGGCAAGGTCTGGAAGCAAAGAGGCAAATCTCCTGCTACAGGGCCAACAGAAGTTATATAAACCCTCAGAATGAAAATTTATTTATTTTATATCCCGCCCATCTAGTCAATTGACTACTCTTTGAAGTAGATCTTTGAAACTAGGATTTGCTTGAACTTTACTTCCAGCTTTCTAGCTGAATAACATTTGGAGGACTGCATTTTTTTCCATCCTTATCTTGTGGTATCAAAATATTTCCAGAAATTAAACAATCATGATTGAAGCAAACACACCCAATTAAGAGATGCATTTCTTGCTCTGGTAATAAGGCTGATTAAATGAGAAGGCGAAATTGCCATTACTTTTAAAGAAAATGCACCCCACATTTCAGCAAATGTTTAAAACTCCCCAAGTGGTGAATAGATATCAGAAATAATTTAAGAATATGCTTAGCTTAAAGCTCCTCAAATCATTCAACAAACATAGCTAGTGGGGGATTCTGGGGGATGGCAGTCCAAAAAATGCCAGTTTTCCAAACTCTGGCTGGTGTCACATGACAGGGCTTTGTAAGGAAGGGGAGTATAACCTTTCCTCTATTCAGGTTTCTCCCCCTCATTTAAGGACATGTAAGGAGCATTTGTGTTGTCCAAAAAGCAGTCTGTCTCTACAGAATATCAAAATCAAAAGCAGTTTTAAAAAAATACACAGAAGGCCTGGAAATACAAAGATGGAGAAAAGTATCCTTTAACTTAATGAGCTTCTATTCTTCTCATTGACAAAGAGGCATTTAATACCATATATAATCTTCCTAGTACGAATGCCTTGGAGTCTCTGAGAAAGGAGGATTGAGTCTCCAGCAACTGCTATTCAGAAGGTGCCTATAACAATAGCTTACAAGAGCACTGGTAATCTTAGAGGAAGATGGAAAGAAGAAGCATTGGCAGCAGCCAACATCTGCAGCAGTCAGAGACAGAGAAGAAGGAAATGGGGGAATGCAATGGAAGTTTCTCAACAACAGTGGTTTCATCTGGAAGACATCTATATTCCATGAAAGCAAAGGGTTATAAATGTACTTTGATTTCCTGAAAAGTGAATTTCTACTGTTAAATCCCCAGTCCTCAATGCTAACACTATTTACTTACACTTTGGAGCCAGGGTGTACCGAAAGGGCATGGAAATTTTGCAGCTGCATCACAATTATCACAAAACTCGAGCTCTTTGTGTCATACCTGTTCAGAAGAAGAGTGAAAAATTTAAATCATACATTTATTACACAATTGCACTTGTAAACTGCCAGCTTCTCTCTTTTACCCACAACTACTTACCTCAAACCTATCTGTACTTGAGCTGCCTCTAGAACCGTAGTATCATCTTCACTATATGCAGCATCTTCACTATCATTTGGTCTGGAAAATGGAAACAAAAAGTTGAAGAGAGCAACATGTAGGGGTTTCAAAATAAGTGAGATATGAAAAGAGTGGTTTTTCCCAGTGAGTTTCCATAGCTGGGGGTGGGGGTGGGTGGGGAGAGAACTGCAACCCAGGTATCCTGAGTCTGAGTGCATCACTTTATCTACTACACCACATTGGGCATCCTTTCCACCTTTCGTCCCAAAAAGTTTACTGACTACAACTCTCATCACCTCCAGCCTTCTGGTAGGAATGATGGGGATTTCCCCCCAATCCTAGAATATAAAAGGCTGAGAAAGGCCAACATTTAAACCTAACAGAATAAAGCAAAACAAGAAGATATATTTGAACACTAAATCAATTATGTTTCTAAGGATTTTTTTATCTGAATCTGTCCAAGAAAATAGCTACTTTCTTAAGGACTTAAAAATATTATGGGTTATTCTGAAAAGGCTAGTTATCTGAAGATCTACTTTTAAATGGGAATCAGCATTTGTAAATGCCTGTACAAGCAAAGTAAGAATACATCAATATTAAAATGAGAAAAAATCCCCCTTTCAAACTTTGCCTTAGTCACACATTTTCTAAAACACTGTCTTCCAACCCTTCAAAGAAAATCCTAGGGAAAATGGCATATGTTACTGCGATTGACACTGTTCCCTGTAGTGGCATTTTGCTGTGTTCTCATTCAAATGGGCTCTTTTTGAAGTTTAAGTTGGTTTCTATACCTTCACACTTTGCAGATGCTTTGGATATTGGACTGCAAACTACAGGGTTCAATTGATGGTTGAGGACAGTAGGATTTGCAGTAAAACACAAAGCTGGAAAGTAGGAGCTGGAGGATGTTGCTCTAAGGCACAGATCTGTCAGCCTCCTCAATTTCAAATAAATCTTAGCTAAACAGGTTGTGAGATATGCATCCCTCTTCCTTTCTCCCCAGCAACATTAGTGTTGTTCATCAAGAAGCGTGGTGAGAAGTAGAAATTGGATGCCATCCCATACAGAGAGGGAGAGTGACTTGCATCCCTTACATTAGTAGGCCCAGCGTGTAAAACGTGAGTAATAACTGCTTCAAATTTCTCCACACAAAAGGAGGACTCTTGGCTGTCCTCTAACTCCTTTGTCCCATCATCTCTGTAAAGACAATTGTGATATCCTCTCTCTCTCTCTCTCTCTCTNGTTGTGATATCCCCTCTCTCTCTCTCTCTCTCTCTCTCTCTCACACACACACACACACACACACACACACACCTCGCACTTTGGCCAAAATCCTTAGCATAATAAATTGAGTTAGAGTAGGCCCAATGAATCAATGGTGATTTGGTGACTCAACTCCTTTTTAAGTTACATTGATTCAAATGGGCCTACTCTAAATGAAGCTCACTATGCTAAAGTATGCAAGTCACAGTTACAGTAGGTCCATTTGAATTAACAGAACTTACAATGGAGTTGATTCATTAAATAACCATTGATTCAATCGGCACACTCTGCTACAATTTACTATGATAAGCAACAGGATTTTGGCCACTGTTTTCCTTGCTCTGTTTCTACGAATGCCACATGGCAGTGTGAGTTTTACACTGCGCTGTTTGCCTTGCTCTGTTTCTACGTACTGCCACATGGCAGTGTGAGTTTTACACTGCAACCAGAAAATGTAAAACAAATGCTTTCTCCAGACTATCTACTGCTGCCAGGATCAGCTCCCCTTCTCTCTCTTTCCTTGTCTTCACTGCTGGCTACAATCCTTGCAAAATGGATCAATGAGAACTATTAAAACTGTTAAAGATGTGGGCAAATGTTAAACCAATTAGGAGCTAATTAAGTTAAATCACCATATTAATGGTACTTGATTCAGAGTTAAAATTACTAAATTAGTCCAATTAATTAAAACTAATTAATTTATTTTAAGCTCTGCAATATTATTCACAAAATCGTATGGGAATATTCATGTACACAATAAAGTTAAACAACACTATGCATAAATTAAACTAAGGACTGATAGCTGTAAATCAGAAAGATAATTTCACTGCCAAGAGAGAATGAGTTTCACAATTATCCAAATAACTGAAAATAGTTATTTTCAGATGTTTGTTAAAAAGTAACAAAAGATATGATAAAATCATGACCAGGATGCTTTGTTTACCAGGGAGGGATGGACCATTAGTTACAATTTGGCTGAAATCAGATTTTTGAAATTTACTTTGGATAAACAGAATTATTTCTGCCTTAAACCTACTGTTTTACAGAAGCTTCATATACACCACTATCTCCAGCCACAGACTCATCAGAAACTGCAGCAGATACACCCCCTGTCTTCTCCTGAAGTAGGTGACTTACTGTTCTTCTTGGCAAGTCAACACCTAAGTAAAGAAAAAGAAAGAGAACCTTTGTTTTACATTATATTGATTGGAAACTCTTCAATCATGATCAAGTTGAAAAGAACATTATGGGAAGCACAAGAAACAATACCCCTTCAATGCTTCAAAATTACAGGCTACTGTGTGGTAATGGTATTCAACCTTGCAGGATCTGTCTCTAACACCATCCTGCCGCTATATGTAAGTAAAATTGTTATCAACAGCTTTTTGTACAGAGTAAAATTCTTATACAACTATTAAATGTAAAGGATACGCTGCTTGCCTCTAATTTATGTATCAGACACATTTCCATTTTTCTCCAATGATGTCAAGGCCATTCTCTCTCTTTTTAAATCCTTCTCAAAAACAAACAAATGAAAAATGTGGCCAGGACTACCCCTACCACTATGCAGATGGAAGTGATATCTTTGTATTTCCCACCTTAGGGAGCAAACCATCTTGGGGTAACCCTGGTGTGACTCTTCTCAGGTTGGGTCACAACTAGAGAGGGGGGCATTTGTATACGAATATCCCTGCACAGGTGGCGATAACAAGGGTCCTGCCCCATGGGGCGGGATGGGCCGTTCACCGATCCGTCGCTGCCACGGATGCCGCGATTCTTCCAACAGCTTTGTAGATCTCAATTGGCTAGACATTCCTGGCAGGAGGCGGGAGGACAAGTATCGCTGCAAAGTTGAAGAGTAGCTAGCAGATCGTGATCTACAGAGCCATTGGAAGAATCACGGCATCCGCAGCAGCGGCAGATTGGTGAGTGGACCATCCAGCCCCATGGGGCTGGACCCTCATTATCGCCACCTGTGCGGGGATATTTGTTTTCGTATACAAATAAGAATACCCCCATCTCTAGTCACAACTCACTGCTGTAAGATCAATGTATTACATATCCTTACTTGCTTTTGTGCAAAAATGATGAGCTTTGAAGCATGGCATCAGGGCAAATAAAAATAATGTAAATCAAGATTTAATTTTTTTTAAATCAATGTTTAAAATATAAATCATCAAAAAATCTGATTAAAAAATTAAATCAGGATTTAAATCAATTTGATTCAAATCAAATCCACCCTGCATGGCACAGTGATTGCCTTCCGTAAAACACTCTTCTATCGTCACTTGTCCTTTGTTCATTTTCACCCGCATTATTTCCCACCAGTCAAATATATAACCCCAATTGCATCTTTTTAAAAACTCACATGCTATAAAGCACAGTGACCGAGATGCCTTACACACGGAATGCCCAAGGAACAAGTCAAGCCAAAGGCCTCACTCAGTTTTACAAACAAGTAGATTAGTTCCCAGAGGTAGCAAATATAATTCTCCCTTCTGAAATCTCTGTAAGAAACAGATACTAATTTAGCTGTGGGTTCAACACAAGTGTGTTCTGGGGTGACTACCGTAAAAACTTAAGAGAATCTTCAGAATCTATTACTTTGTGTTAATCTTCAACTCGTATTCATGGGCTAGATTTTCCTGCAGAGAGCAAGAAACATTCACTGTAAGCAGCACACTGTAATGTAATAAGTTGCAAGCCTGTGGAGTCCTTTCATCTGCCAAGGAGCCTAGTGTATTGGTATGCATTACGCCCCCCTCCTGAGTCATGACTTTACATCTTGTTAAGATGTTTAAATTTTAAGGCTTCAGATTAGAGGATTGATTGCTGCATTTCTCCTTTCATTTGTAGCAGTGGGGATGCTTTTTCCTTGATGATGAAGTACTTTTTCTTCCTCCACTTTGAGAGGGGTGAAGGTGATGACATAATTTATTGATTACCCCCAGGAATAACTGCAGCAGTCTGAAATCGACTTTGACAATGACAGAGACTGTCTGTGGAGGAACTTCACGGTTATTCTAACTCTGTTATTCCCAAAGATACTTCTGTACAAGGAAACCAGTAAGTGGGAATAAATCCCTACCACTCTGCAAATACAGATGCAAATGCAAAGGAATACAGGTACATATATAATCAAAACAGAACAAAAGAAACGAAAATCCGCACGCAAATATCTTCAACTCTTTACACAAACTAAAATGTAGCACATTAGTTCTCATTGATTTCAGGGGGGGAAGTTAACCACATGCTTCACTTTCCTATTGAAATCAATGGGATTGAAAGTAGAGAAATCTAAAATTGAGGAGAATCCAAACATTTGCAAGAATGTCCCAAAGAATCAGCACATTTGAATGATGCAATGATACAGGACTAAGGAAGTGATTCCCAACCTGTGGAATCCAGACGTTTTGGGCTTCAACTCTGGAAACCCTGACCACTGAATAGGTTGCTTGGAATTTCTTAGAATTGCTGCAACACAGGTGGAGGACTGAAGTTTAAGAATACAGTACTAAGGGGCTGCATACAGTGGATTCAAACATGAATTCTAATGATCAGACTAGATGCAATAGAGGAAGTATATGAGAAATGGGGGCCTTCCATCTAGCAAACTACAGTCTGTAGAAGGGGGATCTCTCTCATATATATTGATTGTCCATTCACATACATAGATACATAGATACATACATACAGTAGATAGATTAGATAGATAGATAGATAGATAGATAGATAGATAGATAGATAGATAGATAGATAGATAGATAGATAGATAGATAGATAGATAGATAGATAGATAGATAGATAGATAGA